GAGCAACCAATATCCTAAGATCCATTGATTTTTTTTTGGCCCATTTTTATTTGTTGAGGGGTAGTGCTTGATCAGTTTCTAGATCTTAGCATTAACTGTCCAGATTTAGAAAAATGCTTGGATATTCCAAAGGGATTAGCTATACATTATAAACACCGAGGAAATAAAAAATCTTACTTGAGCTCTTATTGGTATCTTATTTGTTCTCTTGCTACTCAACTGTACAACCACACAGAAAATGAAGTCTTAGATGAAGTCTTAGAAAGTGAAAGTGAAACTCCTTAGGTTGTAATAGAGTCTATGTAACAGGGATTATGAGCTCATTAGGATTCTGTACTTAACATAATCACTGAGAATTAGTATTTCCATCACTAATGTAATCGAGCAAAATTTTCCCTGATTTATATAATCATACTGATTTCAGTAGGCTTGTATATGCTGTAACTCAGACAGAATGTGCCCACTGAATACTTCAGCAAAAATTTTCCAGATCAAACACACACATTAAAAAATACAAGTAAAAAGGTCAGTATCAACACTGCCAATAGCACCTGCTGCTCTTAGTCCTAGGCCAGAGTTTACATCACAAGTTCATCCTTCCTCTTTCATATTTTGAGCACCTGCATATCAATAACTGCAGCTGTGAGTATTTGTAGTATTGCATGGTCAAATGAATCCACGTTTGTTTAAACAGTGTCAGCCGATGGTCAGGGCAGTGTGTGGTGTGTGTGTGTGTTATACACCCGAGTCTTCAACTGCTAGAACTCAAGGTTCCTTCGCAGCGGGAGGCCTAGGGAAGGCCGACGGGCACCCCAAAAGTTTTACATCAGTGTCTTTAGCTGCTAGGACCAGGGTCCCTTCGCAGTGGGCAGCCTATGGAAGGCTGACGGATGCCCCTACGGATCTGTCTCCTGGAGGCGACATGATCCAAATGCCCAGCTCTGCCTGCATCTGCTCCCTATGACCGGCTGAAGTTCTTTTAAAATTGTGCTTGGTTCTGTTACAGCAACTGAAGGAGTCAGGTTAAAACTTAACCAGTTACAGGTTTATTAAAGAAGCTTATAAATCATATGGTTACAATGGCTATTGCTCTATTTCTTAACTGCTAGCAAATATAGATCTTAAAAAATGGTTACAAAGAAAATAAAGATAGAAAATAGAAATAATGGTACCAAGTGACAGCTTAATCTTTAAAAAGCTCTAAATCTATGCGTACGCTTAAGACAAAGGACACATCCAGGTACAATTTTTACACTCTTCTGTACCTCTCGACTCCAGCACTGTGCTTCTCACAATTCCACATTTCTTGGACAAGAACATAAAAAATAATAATTCTAACTCTTGTCTGCAAAAGAACACTTCTCCAGTGTGATGACAAACATATCCTCATCCTAAATGTTAGTGGCTTCAAGTTCCCAAACTGTGCCACCTCCCAACATGCTTATAAAAGCTGGCAAAACTACAAGCCTTTCTTGTTCAAAAGAAGCCTTTTAATGAGAGATCACAGTTGTAGAGTAATCCAGGTCAGATAGAGGTATATTGGTGGGTGATGCAAAACAAGCTGAGACTATCAATTTTTCAAATTTGTCTGCACATTTGTGAATGTTTAATATTTTAAAAGCTCATTGAAGAACCAAGGCAGTAAGTGATTTATGAATGGTCTGATACTTTTCATAATATTTAAGGTTTGGAAAACATCTGGCTATCTTTTTATCTAAAAAAAACCCCCAAGCCTGCTAATTTTCACATCACTCTAAAATTGAGAATCTGTCCTCACTAAATCAGTTATTCAAGGCTGAATTACCAAACATGGGGATGAATGAGATCTCTAGGTAGAATTACTAGCTACAGAGAGACATTTTGTGTACACTAAACCAGAGGTTGTCAACCTTTTTCTTTCAGAGGCTCCCCCAATGTGTTATACAAGCTCAATGGGGCCACAACTAATTGTCTACATATCAAAGCTAGGATCAGCATAGGAGGTTGCAAGAAGTGCCTGGGGCCCCATGCCACAGGGGCTCCCATGAAACAGCTGCTCAGCCTTAGGCTTCAGTCCCAGGTGGAAGGGCTCAGCATTCTGGGCTTTAGCCCATGTGGTGGGGCTTCATCTTTCTGCCCTGGTCCCAGTATGTCTAACACTGGCCCTGCTTGATGAGCTACCTGACCCCGGCTTGCAGTTGGCCAGGGCGCCCCAGACCCTGGTTGAGACCCACTGCACTAAACTATGAAATCAAGGGGTATCAGTCATGAATTATGGCTAACACTACACCAATTACCAATAGTGTGTGATTCTACTATAAAAAGTGACTGTGCACAAGAAAAGGCACTTTTTTCTTTAATAGAGCTGCTGCCTGTTTGTATTTAGTCAGATATGATTTTTAGTGATTAAACTCAATTTACTACTCTTTACTCAAATCAGCCTTCAAGAACTAACATACATAGCCTAGAGAGATGGATTCTAGCTGACAGTTACATTATCTATCTAATCTCTCTTATGCACATATGCTTTTGTTGACATGTTCTAAGTCCTTCTCTGTAACCCTGGATATTAACCTGTGACATGAGAAACGTTAATGCTAATGAGCAACACATACCTTTTTTTTTTAATAAAAAGGGATAACACAGAAAAAGTCTAGCCTAGTGTGGCTTTCCACGTGTGAAGAGAAGACGTGACAAATAATTTGCTAAATCTTTAGCTTCAGAACTACATCATGGTAAGTCCTTTTATATAACTGTGTGCTTGGATTTAGATTTAAAAAACCTTTACCTGCAAAATTGCAATGTGCCTTTTCAAATGTGAGAGAACAAAAAAATCAAGGCATGGGCATGCAAATAGATGAAATGAGATCTGTAGCAGGCAGGCATGGATCCAAGTGTGCTGCTGGACCCATCTTTATACCCATAGGGGCCCATATCCTCTTTCTTATCTAAGATGCCAAATTGTGTTGGTCCGTCATTGTGACGCCAGTTCTTACAAGGGAGTTTCAAGTTAATTTACACTTGCAAAAGAGAGAACTAAATTGTGAGTACTGGGCATTCTTTACTGGGCAGGAGATTCCTCCCCCCATGGGCGAGTGTGTGTCTGTATCAATATAGGTGCCAGCCAAGGCAGTTCTCGCAGCCTCGAGATCAACAATTGGCGTATCTCTGTTTACAGCCATCCAGGATCACTGTGAGAGAGCCTATCCGGGCCTCCTGTCAAGGCTTCAAAGACTATGCTGATTTTACTGCTCTGTGTGTGCCCTGTATGCTCCAGGCAAGCAAGATGGATGTTACAGGTGGGGGTTCCTGTCTGGCTACAAACAGGGATATACGTAAGTAATAACATCACACAGATATTTGTAACTGATCAGAATACATTCACAACTTGTTTGCATTTATTAAGAAATATTAGATGCTCAGGTCCTTTTTCCAGGTTTAAAATGTCTAGGGTGGACTGACATTAATAGATAGCTATTTAATTCTAGATGATGTGGTGTTTTTTAAGAATAATTTTAATATTTTTAATTTTTGGTCCAATAGAATGACTGAATTTAGGAAACTGAGATGGCATAGTGACTTACAAAATTAGGGTCCTGCTGCCAGTTTGGATTTTAAAATGAAAGTAAAGAGTACTGTGTTTTCAATCTGTGTGATAACTGTGTTCAGAAAGTGTTTTGCCTTGGGATTTATTGCTGTGCTTCTCACAATTCCACATTTCTTGGACAAGAACATAAAAAATAATAATTCTAACTCTTGTCTGCAAAAGAACACTTCTCCAGTGTGATGACAAACATATCCTCATCCTAAATGTTAGTGGCTTCAAGTTCCCAAACTGTGCCACCTCCCAACATGCTTATAAAAGCTGGCAAAACTACAAGCCTTTCTTGTTCAAAAGAAGCCTTTTAATGAGAGATCACAGTTGTAGAGTAATCCAGGTCAGATAGAGGTATATTGGTGGGTGATGCAAAACAAGCTGAGACTATCAATTTTTCAAATTTGTCTGCACATTTGTGAATGTTTAATATTTTAAAAGCTCATTGAAGAACCAAGGCAGTAAGTGATTTATGAATGGTCTGATACTTTTCATAATATTTAAGGTTTGGAAAACATCTGGCTATCTTTTTATCTAAAAAAAACCCCCAAGCCTGCTAATTTTCACATCACTCTAAAATTGAGAATCTGTCCTCACTAAATCAGTTATTCAAGGCTGAATTACCAAACATGGGGATGAATGAGATCTCTAGGTAGAATTACTAGCTACAGAGAGACATTTTGTGTACACTAAACCAGAGGTTGTCAACCTTTTTCTTTCAGAGGCTCCCCCAATGTGTTATACAAGCTCAATGGGGCCACAACTAATTGTCTACATATCAAAGCTAGGATCAGCATAGGAGGTTGCAAGAAGTGCCTGGGGCCCCATGCCACAGGGGCTCCCATGAAACAGCTGCTCAGCCTTAGGCTTCAGTCCCAGGTGGAAGGGCTCAGCACTCTGGGCTTTAGCCCATGTGGTGGGGCTTCATCTTTCTGCCCTGGTCCCAGTATGTCTAACACTGGCCCTGCTTGATGAGCTACCTGACCCTGGCTTGCAGTTGGCCAGGGCGCCCCAGACCCTGGTTGAGACCCACTGCACTAAACTATGAAATCAAGGGGTATCAGTCATGGATTATGGCTAACATTACACCAATTACCAATAGTGTGTGATTCTACTATAAAAAGTGACTGTGCACAAGAAAAGGCACTTTTTTCTTTAATAGAGCTGCTGCCTGTTTGTATTTAGTCAGATATGATTTTTAGTGATTAAACTCAATTTACTACTCTTTACTCAAATCAGCCTTCAAGAACTAACATACATAGCCTAGAGAGATGGATTCTAGCTGACAGTTACATTATCTATCTAATCTCTCTTATGCACATATGCTTTTGTTGACATGTTCTAAGTCCTTCTCTGTAACCCTGGATATTAACCTGTGACATGAGAAACGTTAATGCTAATGAGCAACACATACCTTTTTTTTTTAATAAAAAGGGATAACACAGAAAAAGGCTAGCCTAGTGTGGCTTTCCACATGTGAAGAGAAGACGTGACAAATAATTTGCTAAATCTTTAGCTTCAGAACTACATCATGGTAAGTCCTTTTATATAACTGTGTGATTGGATTTAGATTTAAAAAACCTTTACCTGCAAAATTGCAATGTGCCTTTTCAAATGTGAGAGAACAAAAAAATCAAGGCATGGGCATGCAAATAGATGAAATGAGATCTGTAGCAGGCAGGCATGGATCCATGTTCTGAAAGATAAAGAATACTGGTTGACATAACCAAAGGGATTGTGTTTAGCTACAATAGTTATTAGCATTTCGTACACATTTCGGCTGTGTCTACACTGGGTCACTTATTCCGGAAAATCAGCCGCTTTTCCGGAATAAGCTGCGAGCTGTCTACACTGGCCCTTGAATTTCTGGAAAAGCAACGATGCTCTACTGTACAAAGTCAGACGCTATTCCGGAAAAACTATTCTGCTCCCACTCGGGCATAAGTCCTTATTCCGGAACACTGTTCCGGAAAAGGGCCAGTGTAGACAGCCCAATAGTCTTTTCCGGAAAAAAGCCCCGATCGCGAAAATGGCGATCGGGGCTCTTTTCCGGAAAAGCGCGTCTACATTGGCCACAGACGCTTTTCCGGAAAAAGGGCTTTTCCGGAAAAGCAGCCTGCCAATGTAGACTCTCCTTTTCTGGAAAAACTGAAAATGGAATTGTATTCCGTTTTAAGCATTTCTGGAAATTCATGCCAGTGTAGACACAGCCTTCATGTACATTTCAAAAGCAGAAGCGCCCACTGCGGGAACCAGTGCAAGCGGGGACTGAAGCAGTTTCCACTCACGCCTTTTCCCGCTGTGCCTCTGCCTCCCTTGCCCCCTGCAGGTGGTGCTGGGGAGAACCGGCTTTACTGGTTCCCCCAGCACCAGCTCCTTCTCTCTTCTGCCTTGGTGCTTCTCTCTGATGGAGGCAGCAAAGGGCAGTGGAGCAACTAATCCAATTCAACTGTCCGATAAGCATTTGCTTATAGTCGACATCTACAGCAGGTAAATCTAAGTATTCATATACCCAAGCCATAAGTAAGGGTCTGCTCAGGCTTCTGGCAACACTGAGATAAAGAAGTGGTCTGAAGTGTGAGTTTTTCAAGTTGTGGAAAATATGTATTAAGTAACTTCTCTCCTGGCTTTGTCTGCCCTCTCCCCTTCAATCCATAGCAGCACAGCTCCAATGCAGATATGCTTCCAGACCTTTCCCAGCGGCTGCTGGTTTTGGAGATCCCTTCTAAATGGAGGTCTCCAACAAAGAGAGGGTATTATGCCACAGTCAGTGCATTTTCAAGTTGCATGAACTTCTCAGCCAATTAACTATGGAAGTAGGAGAAACAATGCACACTTCCACTGCCTCCATTTGTACTCTCCCAGTCAGTGGTAGTGTTGCATTAGCATTTACACTGATACCCTTAGCATACTGATCTAATAAACATAATCCAAGATCCTAGCTGTTCACTAGCTGCTGTATGAGTGTTCATCTCAATTGCGAATACAGCATTAATCAGCTTGAGATGACCATTGACATTATTTCGCTCAACAAAGCAGCCTGAAGGGACTCACGACTAGAACAACTTCTCACCACCACTTGCATGAGACTAATATCTGAAGATAAGTTTTTAATTGTAAAATAATACATTTCTAAGCTTGCTGCCAGGATGCCCTGGTTGTGTTTTTGTATTTTGGGACAAAACAGAGGCCAGAGGAGGAAGACATTAGAAAAATGTATTTTCTGTTCTCTTGTTGCCGGTGAGGAGGAGATCTTGATCATTTAACTTCTTTTGTGAGGAAGTCCTATTGCAAGGATTCCTAAAGTTTTGTATGGTGACTCCTTTTACACAGCAAGCCTCTGACTGTGACTCCCCCTTTTAGTCTCTGCCCCAGGTCAGTGCGGCCCCAGGGTTCAAAAGTTCACCCAGCAGGGTTTCACCATCCCAACCTGGAGGGGCGGGGATCGATACACCTTACGTGGCCCGCTGGTGGCTCCGCCGATGGCTCCGCCTTTCCGTGGGGTTCTGCCACCACCGTCGACGCGAGTCACTCCACCACACTCCACCTGTCATCCAGTGAGCCGCCTCCACTGTCTGGCTCCGCCAGCCGTCTCGGTCCACACCCCTGGCTGCCAGCTGGTTGCTCCTGCCGCTGCCCCACTCCCCCACACACAGGTCGTCGCACCAGGCTCCCCTC